ATTGAGCGGTTTTCTATTTAATAAAAGTGAACTTATCCAGTAATTTGCACATATATTCCATTTACATCTGTAACTCAATGCGATACTCTAATTCCATGGTTTAATTCCTGTGAATTTCATGGAACTCCATGGAGATCAATGGAATTGGATGCAGTAGTTTCCATGGAATTTCATGGAACTTTTCCATTGAATTCCATTGAAATTGATGTCCTTATCCCCAATGGAATGCCATGGAAATTTTTTCCACGGAAATCGATGGAATTCCATGGAGGTATTTCTTACGGTATGTACCAAGTTATTTAAAGGGGCTTTGTCACGCTATTTTCTACCTTATTAAAACGCTAAAGTGTGTTTTCGAATCAATTGAATTCCAAGAATAAGACTATATTTAGGCATTAAAACCGTTTCCTGTCGTCTCTTAATATGGATGACAAGGATGATTGAAACTTGAAAAAATGGCCGGCCTTTTCAATGCAAAAGTTACCAAAAAATCAATTATGGCTAGTGCTGTCTGAAAAATTTTGTTTGGGACCTTCTCCATAACTCTAAAGGAGCATTTTGTATAAGTGTATAGGCACTAAGTAATGACTTCAGCACGTAATATTCCTAAAAACAGCAATATCCTCAAGACAAACCCCCTTTAACACCAGGATAAATTGACTACTATATGATTAAATCGCCCGATCACTGTTTTGGGCAGTCAAATCTCTTTCTTTTTCCCACGAGCTTGACGTGGCGAGTGTTTCACATTTTCCAAAACCAAATGTGTTATTATTCTCTTGTCTTAAATCGTCAGCGTGTCCAAAGATGGCAATCCTGACAGGGACTTCAGGCATCATTACAAGTCCTTTTTACCCGGAAAATTATGGTAATAACCACAACTGCACATGGAAAATCATGGCAAGTACAGGAAATCTCGTCGAGTTGGTCATTCAAGACATGGACATAGAAAGTAGGATTAACTGTCCCTACGACTATATACAAATTCAAGATGCTGTGATTCATGATAGTGGTAAGCTTCCTGGGCGCTTATGTGGTTCACTCACCAGCAATTCGATTTTTTCTTCTTACAACGAAACCTTGATTGTACGTTTTGTCACTGATTATTCCATAACAGCCCGTGGATTTAACGCAAGATACACTGTTATTCCTGGTAAGTAGGAAGAATTATGTTTTGCAGTGCTTTGCGCTTTATCCAGTAGAGTATGTTGCGCGGTATCTAGGCACAATCGCTTGTAAACACTAGAAATTTTTGTTTGAGCATAGACGATTTCTGAATTTTGTCCTTAAAGATAGTAGTTTACATTTCTCAGTCTTGGAAGGTTTCCACTTTGCTCAATTAAGCCTATTTAAAATCAGGGGCATAGCCAGCCATTTCTTCTATTTAAGCCCGGTTTGAAGAGGTCCTGAGAAAGCGAGGGAGGAGAGATTCATTCATTCATTCAGTCGTTCGTTCCTTCGTTCCTTCGTCCCTCCCTCCCTCCCTCCATCCATCCATCCATCCATCCATCCATCCATCCATCCATCCATCCATCCATCCATTCATTCAGAGAGTTGGAGAGGGAGGCAACATTACTTGATTGGAGTATTGAGACCAACGTTTTCTCAATAGGATTCTTGTTGAAAGTACGTCAACAAATATATATTTTTCATAGTTCATAATAATTTGAACCAGGAGATCATGATCTCAGTTGTTTGGGCTCAAATATAGTTGCAAATATAAATAATCAAAACAACTGCTAAGCTGGCTTTAAGTGTGAAAACTAACTTTACAGGTAAAGGAAGAAAGAAATTCTTACCAGCAATTCTATTTTTTCTATAACAGCCCGTGGATTTAACGCAACATACACTGTTATTCCTGGTAAGTAGGAAGAATTATGTTTTGCAGTGCTTTGCGCTTTATCCAGTATAGTATGTTGCACAATATCTAGGCACAATCGCTTGTAAACACTAGAAATTTTTGTTTCAGCATAGACGATTTCTGAATTTTGTCCTCAAAGATAGTCCTTTACATTTCTCAGTCTTGGAAGGTTTCCACTTTGCTCAATTAAGCATATTTAAAATCAGGGGCATAGCCAGCCATTATTTCTATTTAAGCCCGATTTGAAGAGGTCCTGAGTAAGCAAGGGAGGAGAGATTCATTCATTCATTCAGTCGTTCGTTCGTTCGTTCGTCCCTCCCTCCCTCCCTCCCTTCCTCCCTCCATCCATCCATCCATCCATCCATTTATTCAGAGAGTTGGAGAGGGATGCAACATTTCTTGATTGGAGTATTGAGACCAACGTTTTCTCAATAGGATTCTTGTTGAAAGTACGTCAACAAATATATATTTTTCATAGTTTATAATAATTTGAACCAGGAGATCATGATCTCAGTTGTTTGGGCTCAAATATAGTTGCAAATATAAATAATCAAAACAACTGCTAAGCTGGCTTAAAGTGTGAAAACTAACTTTACAGGTAAAGGAAGAAAGAAATTTTTATAAGTAACTTCTACTTGCTGATTTGTAGACGAGTGTGAAACAGGACAACATAACTGCCACGATGATGCATACTGCACCAACACCAAGCGTTCCTTCACGTGTACTTGCAAACCAGGATATTCTGGGGATGGTGTCAACTGTACAGGTAACAAACCTACATACGCAGTGTGAACTTACAAGATCTAAACTTTAGTTGTATGCCATCTCATGAGAAATAAAAAAATGAGCCAATAAAAAAGCTAGAAACTGGTTTCGTATTAATTTATCTCAGTGACATGTCGTTGTTATAAGTAGCGTGAAACAAAATAAACAAAAGAAGTGCTCCTTGTTATTGCTTTTGTTTTGGAAAACTAATTCAAGCGGAGAACATTTCAGAGTCACCGTTCGAATGTATTGTACTACTATCCTTCATTCAGTAGGAATAAAAATCGAACTTGGTTAGTTTGATAATTTAGCCTCTTTATTTGCAGACGTAGACGAGTGTAATACAGAAAAACACCAATGTGATGAAGCTACTTCAGTGTGCGTTAACACTGAAGGATCCTTCAAGTGTTACTGTCGCAAAGGGTATACTGAAAGTGAACAACATAATTGTACAGGTAACATCCACTTCAAGATCTCTTAATTGAAACATTGAGATGCTTCGTAGGCACGTCTTTTGTTTATGTTAAGTTAGCGTCCTTAAGGTTTTCTATTTCAAGCTTTTTTGGCGCTTTAAGTTGAAACAGGTTTTCTTTGAGCGATGCACGCCAACAGGAAGTAAATCTTTATCCCTTTTAATATACATAAAAACTACCAAATTTGTGTTGTCTACCTCTTTTCAGTGTCTTAAGAGTGGTTGTCAGAGAAAACCGGGCAAAATGTTAAAAATGTCAACGGAAGGGGGTCAACAGAATAAGTTCATACTAACATCATAGATAGGTCTGGTAGAGTAATGAACAAATATACCAAACATAGGTTCTTCACTGCCCTTGTATTAGAGATACGAGCATCAGTTTATTCGACCCCCTCGGACGTTATTTTTATAAGCAAGTTTTCACCATTTTCTGAAACTCACAGAACCCGCAAAATTTAACGAGCGAAGTGTATTTTTTGTATGCGATACAACACACCACAGAACTACTTTCTCAAACCATAAGATTTGTTAAGTAGCCACGGACAAGACTAAAATTTTCTTATTTTATCTGACCTAAACTCAGTGTCTGCAAACGAGCAAAAAATCGGGCATTTTTGAATTGATTTACCGCGCACAACTAAAACGACAGAACAACTCTGACAACCAAATTGCAGTCTACTATCATCCATGTAACCAAACCACTAATAATCATTTTGGGCCGCTGAAACAGGAAGAAATTAGAAAACTCACATTTGTTATAGTTTCCAAGCTTTTTCTTGCAAACAGGCCGCTCCCTTCGTGTTTGTTTTAAGTCCTCTGCGTGAATTTTCTTTCATATTTCGCTTTAAAGCATGTTCAGCAGCGGGAGGAAATATCAAAAAGCTCGAAATACTGCCTAGGTTACATTTTTATACGGCAATAAGTGCTGAACGATAGAATGAAACTACAAAATAACATGTACAAAGCGACGCCATCTTGAAAATTCAGCACTCAAGAGGGACTGGCACTAGTAACTGCCTTGTCCACAAGATGATGAAATACCAAATGGCTAAAAAACAAAAAAACAAACAAACCTGCTTATGAGCGACCTATTACAGTCCTATTTCTTCTTCAATTACTACTTTTAGTTAAATTTAGCTTGTTTTGTGTTGTCCTTTTTTTTGTGGCGAAGTGATGGGGTGTGATGAACAGGTGACCAATTGGCATTACTTTATTCAGTCTTCATTTGCTCTTCATTCACTTCATTTTCAGTTATCCCGTATAAGTCTTAGCGTTTCTTTGGACTCTTTATTGTATTATCTATTTTTGCGTCAGTCTTCAACCACCGTCCATGTCCGAAGGTCCACTCATCTCCTTCTGTTCATGATTTCCTGATACACTTTTTATAGTCCGGAAGGCTTCGCCCGAAACACTACTAGCAGAGCTTGGGGGAAGTGATTGACTAGTCCTTAGCCTCATGGGTGGGGAGACTGAGTAGTTGCTCCTTGGACTTGGCTGTCTAGAGACTCAGTACAGGCACCTTGTAACAGTTAAGAGTCAGGTCCGTAATCTGACTAACTGTCAGTCACTAAACATTTATCGATGTACGTTTGAGCAACTTGTTGTTCTGAGTGAGTTTTGATTTCATTGAGCTTAAGTAATTTGTATTTATAACTTTTCAAAAGAGATTGAGCGGTTTCCTATTTAATAAAAGTGAACTTATTCAGTAATTTGCACATATATTCCATTTACATCTGTAACTCAATGCGATACTCTAATTCCATGGTTTAATTCCTGTGAATTTCATGGAACTCCATGGAGATCAATGGAATTGGATGCAGTAGTTTCCATGGAATTTCATGGAACTTTTCCATTGAATTCCATTGAAATTGATGTCCTTATCCCCCATGGAATGCCATGGAAATTTTTTCCACGGAAATGGATGGAATTTCATGGAGTTATTTCTTACGGTATGTACCAAGTTATTTAAAGGGGCTTTGTCACTCTATTTTCTACCTTTTTAAAACGCTAAAGTGTGTTTTCGAATCAACTGAATTCCAAGAATAAGACTATATTTAGGCATTAAAACCGTTTCCTGTCGTCTGTTAATATGGATGGCAAGGATGATTGAAACTTGAAAAAATGGCCGGCCTTTTCAATGCAAAAGTTACCATAAAATCAATTATGGCTAGTGCTGTCTGATTATTAAATTTCGTTTGGGACCTTCTCCCTAACTATAAAGGAGCATTTTGTATAAGTGTATAGGCACTAAGTAATGACTTCAGCACGTAATATTCCTAAGAACAACAATATCCTCAAGACAAACCCCCTTTAACACCAGGATAAATTGACTACTATATGATTAAAACGCCCGATCACTGTTGTAGGAAGTCAAATCTCTTTCTTTTTCCCACGAGCTTGACGTGGCGAGAGTTTCACCTTTTCCAAAACGAAATGTGTTATTATTCTCTTGTCTTAAATCGTCAGCGTGTCCAAATATGGCAATCTTGACAGAGACTTCAGGCATCATCACAAGTCCTTTTTACCCGGAAAATTATGGTAATAACCACAACTGCACATGGAAAATCATGGCAAGTACAGGAAATCTCGTCGAGTTGGTCATTCAAGACATGGACATAGAAAGTGGGACTAACTGTCCCTACGACTATATACAAATTCAAGATGCTGTGATTCATGGTGGTGGTAAGCTTCCTAGGCGTTTATGTGGTTCACTCACCAGCAATTCGATTTTTTCTTCTTACAACGAAACCTTGATTTTACGTTTTGTTACCGATGATTCTACAACAGCCCGTGGATTTCACGCAAGATACACTGTTATTCCTGGTAAGTAGGAAGAATTATGTTTTGCAGTGCTTTGCGCTTTATCCAGAATAGTATGTTGCGCAATATCTAGGCACAATCGCTTGTAAACACTAGAAATTTTTGTTTCAGCATAGGCGATTTCTGAATTTTGTCCTTAAAGATAGTCCTTTACATTTCTCAGTCTTGGAAGGTTTCCGCTTTGCTCAATTAAGCATATTTAAAATCGGGGGCATAACCAGCCATTTTTTTCTATTTAAGCCCGATTTGAGGAGGTCCTGAGAAAGCGAGGGAGGAGAGATTCATTCATTCATTCAGTCGTTCGTTCGTCCCTCCCTCCCTCCATCCATCCCTCCATCCATCCATCCATCCATTCATTCATTCAGGGAGTTGGAGAGGGATGCAACATTTCTTAATTGGAGTATTGAGACCAACGTTTTCTCAATAGGATTCTTGTTGAAAGTACGTCAACAAATATATATTTTTCATAGTTTATAATAATTTGAACCAGGAGATCATGATCTCAGTTGTTTGGGCTCAAATATAGTTGCAAATATAAATAATCAAAACAACTGCTAAGCTGGCTTAAAGTGTGAAAACTAACTTTACAGGTAAAGGAAGAAAGAAATTCTTATAAGTAACTTCTACTTGCTGATTTGTAGACGAGTGTGAAACAGGACTACATAACTGCCACGATGATGCATACTGCACCAACACCAAGCGTTCCTTCACGTGTACTTGCAAACCAGGATATTCTGGGGATGGTGTCAACTGTGCAGGTAACAAACCTACATACGCAGTGTGAACTTACGAGATCTAAACTTTAGTTGTATGCCATCTCATGAGAAATAAAAAAATGAGCCAATAAAAAAGCTAGAAACTGGTTTCGTATTAATTTATCTCAGTGACATGTCGTTGTTATAAGTAGCATGAAACAAAATAAACAAAAGAAGAGCTCCTTGTTATTGCTTTTGTTTTGGAAAACTAATTCAAGCGGAGAACATTTCAGAGTCACCGTTCGAATGCATTGTACTACTATCCTTCATCCAGTAGGAATAAAAATCGAACTTGGTTAGTTTGATAATTTAGCCTCTTTATTTGCAGACGTAGACGAGTGTAATACAGAAAAACACCTATGTGATGAAGCTACTTCAGTGTGCGTTAACACTAAAGGATCCTTCGAGTGTTACTGTCGCAAAGGGTATATCGAAAGTGGACAACATCATTGTACAGGTAACATCCACTTCAAGATCTCTTAATTGAAACATTGAGATGCTTCGTAGGCACGTCTTTTGTATATGTTAAGTTAGCGTCCTTAAGATTTTCTATTTCAAGCTTTTTTGGCGTTTTAAGTTGAAACAGGTTTTCTTTGGGCGATGCACGCCAACTGGAAGTAAATCTTTATCCCTTTTAATATACATAAAAACTACCAAATTTGTATTGTCTACCTCTTTTCAGTGTCTTAAGAGTGGTTGTCAGAGAAAACCGGGCAAAATGTTAAAAATGTCAACGGAAGGTGGTCAACAGAATAAGTTCATACTAACATCATAGATAGGTCTGGTGGAGTAACGGACAAATATACCAAACATAGGTTCTTCACTGCCCTTGTATTAGAGATATACGAGCATCACTTTATTCGATCCCCTCGGACGCCATTTTTATAAGCAAATTTTCACCATTTTCTGAAACTCACAGAACCCGCAAAATTTAACGAGCGAAGTGTATTTTTTGTATGCGATACAACACACCACAGAACTACTTTCTAAAACCATAAGATTTGTTAAGTAGCCATGGACAAGACTAAAATTTTCTTATTTTATCTGACCTAAACTCAGTGTCTGCAAACGAGCAAAAAATCGGGCATTTTTGAATTGATTTACAGCGCACAACTAAAACGACAGCACAACTCTGACAGCCAAATTGCAGTCTACTATCATCCATGTAACCAAAACACTAATAATCATTTTGGGCCATTAAAACAGGAAGAAATTAGAAAACTCACATTTGTTATAGTTTCCAAGCTTTTTCTTGCAAACAGGCCGCTCCCTTCGTGTTTGTTTTAAGTCCTCTTCGTGAATTTTCTTTCATATTTCGCTGTAAAGTATGTTCAGCAGCTGGAGGAAATATCAAAAAGCTCGAAATACTGCCTAGGTTACATTTTTATACTGCAATAATTGCTGAACGATAGGATGAAACTACAAAATAACAAAGTGACGCCAACTTGAAAATTTAGCACTCAAGAGGGACTGGCACTAGTAACTGTTTTTTTCCACAAGATGATCAATTACCAAATGGTTAAAAAACAAAAACACAAACAAACCTGCTTATGAGCGACCTATTACAGTCCTATTTCTTCTTCAATTACTACTGTTAGTTAAATTTAGCTTGTTTTGTGTTGTCGTTTTTTTTATCGCGGAGTGATGGGGTGTGATGAACAGGTGACCAATTGGCATTACTTTATTCAGTCTTCATTTGCTCTTCATTCACTTCATTTTGAGTTATCCCGTATAAGTCTTAACGTTTCTTTGGACTCTTTATTGTATTATCTATTTTGCGTCAGTCTTCAACCACCGTCCATGTCCGAAGGTCCACTCATCTCCTTCTGTTCATGATTTCCTGCTACACTTTTTATAGTCCGGAAGGCTTCGCCCGAAACACTACTAGTAGAGCTTGGGGGAAGTGATTGACTAGTCATTAGCTTCATGGGTGGGGAGACTGAGTACTTGCTCCTTGGACTTGGCTGTCTAGAGACTCAGTACAGGCACCTTGTAACAGTTAAGAGTCAGGTCCGTAATCTGACTAACTGTCAGTCACTAAACATTTATCGATGTACGTTTGAGCAACTTGTTGTTCTGAGTGAGTTTTGATTTCATTGAGCTTAAGTAATTTGTATTTATAACTTTTCAAAAGAGATTGAGCGGTTTTCTATTTAATAAAAGTGAACTTATCCAGTAATTTGCAGTGACACCTAAATCTCTGGAAAATTGTAAATACATATATTCCATTTACATCTGTAACTCAATGCGATACTCTAATTCCATGGTCTAATTCCGATGAATTTCATGGAACTCCATGGAGATCAATGTTATTGGATGGAATAGTTTCCATAGAATTTCATGAACTTTTCCATTGAATTCCATTGAAATTGATGTCCTTATCCCCCATGGAATGCCATGGAAATTTTTTGTACGGATATCGATGGAATTCCATAGAGGTATTTCTTACGGTATGTACCAAGTTATTTAAAGGGACTTTGTCACGCTATTTTCTACCTTTTTAAAACGCTAAAGTGTGTTTTCGAATCATTGAATTCCAAGAATAAGACTACATTTAGGCATTAAAACCGTTTTCTGTCGTCTGTTAATATGGATGACAAGGATGATTGAAACTTGAAAAAATGCCCGGCCTTTTCAATGCAAAAGTTACCAAAAAATCAATTATGGCTAGTGCTGTCTGATAAATTTTGTTTGGGACCTTCTCCATAACTCTAAAGGAGCATTTTGTATAAGTGTATAGGCACTAAGTAATGACTTCAGCACGTAATATTCCTAAAAACAGCAATATCCTCAAGACAAACCCCCTTTAACACCAGGATAAATTGACTACTATATGATTAAATCGCCCGATCACTGTTTTGGGCAGTCAAATCTCTTTCTTTTTTCCACGAGCTTGACGTGGCGAGAGTTTCACCTTTTCCAAAACGAAATGTGTTATTATTCTCTTGTCTTAAATCGTCAGCGTGTCCAAATATGGCAATCTTGACAGGGACTTCAGGCATCATCACAAGTCCTTTTTACCCGGAAAATTATGGTAATAACCACAACTGCACATGGAAAATCATGGCAAGTACAGGAAATCTCGTCGAGTTGGTCATTCAAGACATGGACATAGAAAGTGGGACTAACTGTCCCTACGACTATATACAAATTCAAGATCCTGTCATTCATGGTAGGGGTAAGCTTCCTGGGCGTTTATGTGGTTCACCCACTAGCAATTTGATTTTTTGTTCTCACAACGAAACCTTGATTGTACGTTTTGTTACTGATGGTATTACAACAGCCCGTGGATTTAAAGCAAGATACACTGTTATTCCTGGTAAGTAGGAAGAATTATGTTTTGCAGTGCTTTGCGCTTTATCCAGTATAGTATGTTGCGCGGTATCTCGGCACAATCGCTTGTAAACACTAGAAATTTTTGTTTGAGCATAGACGATTTCTGAATTTCTTCCTCAAAGATAGTCCTTTACATTTCTCAGTCTTGGAAGGTTTCCACTTTCCTCAATTAAGCATATTTAAAATCAGGGGCATAGCCAGCCATTTTTTCTATTTACTGCGCTTTTCACAAACATGCGAACTCTAAAGTTCAAAAGCCGCCTTCACAACTGCGTTATTCGCTGCCGTCAATCATAATTACGATCACAAGCTACGAACCTTGAAACACAGAAACACACAAAACGGATCGAAATCCACCAATTACAGATCACAAAACAAAAAAGAATCGAGAATATTATATTTCCGTAAGGAGATAAATTAAGTTTACATAAATTCTAGCCTCAACTTGAAAGGTTGAGCATGAAAGTGGTTCCTTCGTAAGCTAAGAGACCTAAAACGTCGTTAAGAAAGACTTCTACCCAAAAATATGAAATAACTCAAAATTGTCTTTTTTTTTCCCACCTCCCCTTTCCCACGATGATTGCATTCTATCGTGTTAAAGGGACAGGTTCACGCTTCAGCTCATGCTCATAAACTAAATTGCTTTTTTCCAATTTATTATTAATTCTATCGGTTAATAATCCCACTCTCATGTATCTCAGCGATCTCAGAGAGTATTTCAAAGTAGAAGTGTATTTCGGAGTAACCTGAAGTGGGACGGAGGAGCACTAAAATCGCAGAAAAATTAGTGGATTATGCCAACACTACCAACGGTGAATTTATTGTTGACCCCAAGGTTTTATTCCATGGTTGATTAATTTACAGCTAATTGCACCTAAGTTGACCAAGAAACTGCCAGGGGAGTGTGCAGATTGGTTCTTTGACATTATTATGACATGATCATATTGCTTTCATAGACGATACAGGATGTCCCGGCAGAAAAACATCATTTTGATTAACGAGCATGCGCTGAACCGTGAACCTGTCCCTTTAAATAATCTCCGCTGATCATTGGCACTGTATACGTACATCGAATTAACATTAATTATAGTATATAAGCAGCTACAACCAGCCCTGGGCAGGAGGTTGAAGCAGCTATCGCCGTTTAGCGAGTCATAGCTGCCCCATACTTTCTGTGAATTGCACGTTTCGACATATTTTACGTCTGTGTCGCTTATTTCGCGGTGATCGCTCACATATCGATAAATCTTCATCAGCAGCATGTCTTTTGTACAATGATGGAGTGAAAGAGGACCCAAGTCCCACGTTGATAAGGAAATATCAGGAAGAGGACGAAAAGAAGCCGTGAAAATCCTGGCAATCAAGGAGTCGGAGATTTTCGTTTTCTATTTGTTTTTCAATTCCTTTACTTTGTCATTTTTTTCTATACTTTTTTTACCCACGACACCCACGACCCACGACATTTAGTTACACTCTCAGTTTTGTCGTCCTATATAAATAATACAACGGGAGTATCGCAGATAATCTGTGTGAAGTGCCAGCGGGAAGTTTTGAAATTTTCGAATTGGAAAAATTCCGGAAAAAATGTAACCAAGCCCCAAGAAATCAGTTGGCAGAATACCACTTGACACGACAGAAGCGCTGCGCTAAGGATTCTCCGGCCGAGTCGGGTCTAAACGACAGACTGAAAATAAAAATCCTCAACTGTACGGAGACATTAAAAGCCGATACCTTAGATAACAGCATCTATGGAAAATTACTTTTGCACGAATCTTATAAAAGGGGCAATTTATTCAACAGGCGGGAATACGCGCGTACTGAATAAATCGTCTATTGCATAAAGGTGCTGGTAAACTTTCACATTTTTCCTTACTGAACATAAACTGTACCGAGGCGTGTCAGTGACTGACGTCTCGACAACCTGTGCTGTAGTCATCTTCAGAGTCAAACTGAGTTGCATCACGTCAGTTGATGATATAATGTCAATGAGCCTGTAATCATTTCAGAGTATACTATAATACAATAATAGTATAATATAATAGTATAATATGCAATATCCTCCATACCGGAGGTCGTAATACATTCTAAACTCGATCCCTATCATGAAAAACCCCATATTCTTTGACCACCTTTATTTCTTTTCCCTGAGGCTTGTCCTCTTAATTACTTCACTTCACTGACACTCATCGAAAGCAGAATAACACGAGCTCGACTTAAAGTATCAACTTAGTTTAAAAATTCGTGTCCAAATGTTTTTTTTTTTTCAGAGAACTGGAAGAAGATCAATACTGGCCCAGTCTGCTTTGGAGCTCGAGGTGACTCATATGGGGCTTTCAACATCAGAGAGAGTGGGGTCATTCGTACCTTTAAACTCGTTCATCTGAGTGGGTCAATTAGATGTAACCACGTAGACCCACCTTGTTATTGGGGATGTGACAATCCCTGGTTTGGAGACACGAGACTCCAAACCGTCTTAACGTTCAAGAACAGATCCGCTCTTTTGTTGGCAGATTACAGGAAAAATTGTTTCCATTCATATAAGATCGAAGGTGTAGGTGTTAATGAGACCGAACTTCGATTTAACAATCTTCCCTCTCCAATATCTGTGTTTGTTGGAGATGAGTTTCAAATTTGGTACGGACAAGACTTATATTACTGTTCAGAAGACAACAACAGCGGTCAGACATGTGCTGATGTTTATGCGTGGTACGCGTGAATTAAAGGATAAACAATATGCACCAAGGAAACCTTTAAAATGCAAATGCACTTCAATCTAATAGATTAAATGATGGCTGACTTTTATGTTCTGAAAGCCCTGTTTCAAAAGTGTTGTCTGTTCGTGGATGTGAGCTCACAGCAACGGCAATTGAAACTAGGGAACCGTGCTTTTTTGGCGATTAATCAAGTAGAAAGAAAATCTTTAATAAGTAAATCCAATAAAGGCAGCAGTCAGGGGCACCCAACGACAATTTTCGGAAGAATACCTGTTCGGAAGACGATTTGAGATCTAGAATTTTCGAAGTATTTGTTGTAAAATTTCTTGCTTGCCTGCCTCTCCTAGGGTTTTCGAACATCCACAAAATGGTATATTTGCCTATTTTTAACGGATTTTTACCCTAAAAAGGTCACCTAGAATTTTCGGAAGCCTTTTTTCTGGCTGAAATTTTCGAAAAGGTAAGTTTTGACCCCTACAATTTTCGGATCACTAGACTTTCAGCTAGGAAATCCGAACAGATGACAAATTTTTAGGGGATAAAAATATGCCTACATCTACCGTTTAAATACTAAAATACGTTTAACAATGCTATGTTTAAGTGGTTTTGAACTATAGTCTCGTTGGGTGCCCCTGAGCAGAAAGAACTTGGAATGTATATACAGAGGAACCTCGACATAACTAACCTCTATATAACTAAGTCCTCAGTATAACGAAGATTTGTTTAGTTGATGAAGTTTTGGATTTTATAAAGCTCTTGCTTATAGCTGTTTACCGAACATAAATTGTTAGAACAAGCAACCTCGTTTCCACTGTTCTCTCTCTTACCTTGAGAAAGAACCCTGGTTGTGGCTAGTCACGTGGCTCCCAAAATCTGGTTTTGCGTCAAGGGTGGGGTAGTACGTATAAAATTGTGTCTGATGTGAGGAAGACACTGGAGAGCTTGCAAACTAGTAAGGATTGATTTGAAGTATGTCAGTCATCAGAACAAGTTTATAGTCAAGGTTTTCCCACATCACACACGGTGTTTTCGACCTGAAAATGATCTTGGTGGTTGTTGACTCATGGACTCGCTCTTTTATGTACATTTCCTAAACTAATATCAATATCATGAATACACCTTACTGCCTGGAGTTTGACATGAGCTCATATTTGCTCCAAGAACAAACTTCTGTTTGAGTAAAGCAAAAAGAGTACATTACTGCGCTTTTCACAAACACGCGAACTCTAAAGTTTAAAAGCCGCCTTCACAATTGCGTTTTTCGCTCCCGTCAATAATATTTACGATCACAAGCAACGAACCTTGAAACAAAGAAACTCACAAAACGGGTCGAAATCCACCAATCACAGATCACAAATCATGGCCTTTTGAACTCGTTAAAGTAAATTTCTGTTTCCTAAGAGGTCCGCCGAGATGACTGACGGCGGCGAAAAACGAAAACGTCAGTTGGCTTTTTTTTGTCACAGGAAGTCACATGACCAGCTGCAACAAGAGTTCTTTCTCGAGGCAAGAGAAGGAACCGTAGGAGCGAGATTGTAGAATAGTCAAATTTGTTAGACGTTTCCCGTTATGTGCAACAAGTATTCGCAAAAGAAACGCAGCAGGTATGAAATGAGAAATGGTTATAAAGCCTGTCAGATATCTTTGTTATATTTTTTTGTTAGCCTTTTTTGGCGGACATGACGGTTCACAACGTTCAATGACATTCCTATCATTTTGCTTGTTTTTGTTTGTTTGTTGTTGCTGTTGTTGTTGTTGTTTTTTTTTTCACAAATAAGAACGTTGCATTAATTTGCTCAATCAATTTTTGAACAGAAAACAAAGGATTGCGCACTGTCGAGGAGCTTCCAATTTTAGCCAGATAAACTGCGGCACCGTTGATTTGACCTTTAATTTTAAGTTTGCCGGCTTTCATGACCAGTTTCCTCTACTACTAAAGCTGCAAATATGATGGGACATGGATGGTATATGCCCCATTTGCATTCTAATGTAAATGCGTCACATATTCTTTCCAGAATGTATACTGTTACAAACAGCTAGCACTTATTACTTATAATAAATAGTGGATCTTTTATGTCCTGTAGGTTAAGCTGTTTTTTTATTTAAGTTGTCCTTTTTTCATATGTTAGCTATGTTGTATATATATATATATATATATATATATATATAACTTGCACAGAAGAGAATCGTCTTCCAACAAATAAAAACTTTATTCAGACCCAACGCGTTTCGGCGTCTGCCTTCATCAGGGGTCTTTACATTGGGTTCATTAATCAA